AATTATGACGTGATCACGCAAAGCTGAATTAACTAATTCCTTAAGTAATAAAAATCAAAAGAATACGTTGAGACGGAAGTTTAAACGCAACGAATATAAACACGGCCTTAGGCTGATATTACATGTGTCGTACGACAAGCTTGTCGGACGTTCCGATTGGCTGCATAAAATCCAAGTGGAGGACTTCCGTCGGACAGTTACGAAATTTTTGTCGGAAAAATGTTGGACTAGAATGAACATTTTACGACAGTCGTAACAATCCTAACCTATGTGTACAAAATGAAAATGTGACCGGTGCAGACTATATAAAAATATTCTAAAATTTCCTTAAAAAATGGAAGTAAGAGATAATGTAAGTACATCATATTTTTGATTTATAAAAATAATAATTATTATTATTTGATATGTAAATGTATGAAATACTAAACCAAACAGTATGATATAATAATAAAATAATAAAGTTAACAAATAATATAATATAATAATACATAATAATTATTTATAGTTGGATATTCCACGAAAATGTATTACTTGTAAAAATCTAATTGACCAAGGGAATGTAGACAAACATGCCTGTTTTTCTAATTATCAATTTATTTGTGTGGATGAAAATGGATATTTATGTCCACAACTTGGTAAATAAAACTGTTATTACTTAATAAGAATATTTTAAACATTATTTACAAATTTAATTATTTATAAATAAATTTATTATATGATGCAGAAGATGGAACCATTATATATCCTGAGCCAGTATCATCTTTTACTGCAGCTGTATGCGGTAAATATTTCATATGTAATATTACTGAGGAAAAATAATATAATTTGTAATAATGTATATGTGTGTATGTGTAATATTACTGCTACTTAAAATTATAAAAATATTTATGTTACAGAAGACATTGAGGAGCTTTTGATATCAAGTGTAAAAAAAAGAAGAGAATTATGGGATCACACATTGCCAATTACAAAAAGATCTCGAGATGTCATTGCAACGCACTGGCAAGAAATCTCAAAAGAATTAAACGGTAAGTATTGCGCGTATTATCTGTTAATCATTATTTATTTCTTTTGCACAAGTGTTTTTTATTTATTTTATAGGAATTCTAACGCCAGATGCTGCTTGCAAAAAATGGCGATATCTTAAAGATTCATATGCGCGAATCCGTAATGATATAATAAAGAAAAAGAGTGGTTCAGCTGCAAGTAAACCTATTAAATGGAAATGGTATGAATATATGAAATTTTTACACGATACGCAGGATTCTCAGAGGTTAGTATATTCAAATATTGTTTGCGCAGAAATAATTATTAGCATTCTTTTAAAAAAAAAGTTGATAAATATAATTTATCGACAAAGTGTTTTTGTTTTCTTATATTAATTTTTATTAATTTTTTTCTCTTAAAAAAATAAAATTATATATGTAAGGAAATATTTTTAATATTTTTTATTATATTTTTATATATAAATTTTACTTTGATGTTTCAGGACTGTTACTAACATTCCAAGTAAAAGTAGCGCATCAACAAGTGAAGTTTCAGAATTTGAAGAAGATGCTGTGCTGCACATGCAAAAACGACGAAAGAGATCGAATAATAGTGAAATGCTGGAAACCTTATCGAGCATCATGAGAGAACCAATAAAAATAGATTTAACATCACTACCAGAAAAAACAGTATCTGAACGTGCACCTGAATCTGTGCAATCACAAGACAATATAAGTAATATAATAATTGTAATAGGAAATTTATTACGTGATTTTCCAGATAATGAAGGGTTTTCTTTTGCATTACAATTATTACAATTAACTGCTGAGAAAAAAAATCAATTAAGTAAAACAGTATAAAGTTCATGCTGTGTTTCTTTTTATGCAATTATGTTATTGATATGCAAAATTCTTCTAAGATAAACTCCTATGTTGTATTGTATATGAATATTTTATATTCATTAGAAATTAATATTTTCTTCTTTGTTTTTAATAATTTAAATGTAGATAAAATATTAAGTTTTAAATATTCTTCAATTAATTATGAGTTATTTTTTATTATTAATATCTAAAAATATTCTCAGTTTTTTTGTTTAAGTAAAAATAATTTATTTTTTTTGTTGATTTGGAGAATATTTATACCATGAGGAGAGAAAAAGACTATTTTTATGACGTTATCATACTTATAAAATAAAAAATGTTTGTTGTATCAGTACATATTTAAGAATTTAAGAAATAAAAAAGGAAATGATATGTGTCAATAAAAATATATTTTATTTCAATATGTGTACTTTTTCTAAAGTATCTTAATCTCTTTAATCTTAAGTTAGTACTTCACAGTATTCTTAAAAATGACAAATTGGAAAATATATTAACAATTACATTAACTTATTAAACAAACGTTTCTTGCCATGAAATAGCACCTTCATTATTGAAATAATCCATAAAAATGCTTCGTATTTGAGATGCTTCCCGCGTATGAGTATTGCTGCCAACATTGCTTAAATCTCTAAATGCTGTAGTTTCAATTTCGGACAAGGTTGGATCATTTGTAATTTCAGAATAACAATTAATATCCTCAGCATTTTGATGAAGAAAATTGTGCAAAACTATTGTTGCTTTTATTATATTTCTTGCCGTTTCTATCGATGTGTTGATAGGTCGTTTATATATTCTCCATTGAGAAGAAAGAATTCCAAACGCGCATTCTACCATACGGCGCGCTCTGCTGAGTCTGTAATTAAATATACATTTTTCCTTCGTTAAACCTCCTTTTCCAGGAAACGGCCGCATCGTATACGTAGTTAATTGGAAAGCTTCATCAGCCACCAATACATATGGCAAAACAGGTCCCTCAAATACACGATCTGGAGGTGGTATATTCATTTTATCTGCTGCAAACGCTTCACCTATATCAGATCTTGACCATATGCCTCCATCACTTTGACGTCCAGCCGCTCCAATATCAGTTAATATAAACTTATAATTACTATCACAAACAGCCATTAACACTATGCTGTGCGAATTTTTATAGTTATAATATGTTGACCCAGAGTTAGGTGGAGCCTAAAATTATGCTTTTTTGATTAAAATGTTCTAAAAATAAATAACTAAAAAACATATAAAACTTAAGAAAAATGTAATGTGTTACCTGTATGACTACGTGCTTTCCATCTACAGCACCTATACAATGTGGAAAATTACATTTTATTTCAAAATTTTTCGCAATTTCTTTCCATTCTTCACATGTAAGTACTTTAAGAACTATGGATACTAAAGTTGTCCATAATGCATTACATGTTTCTGCAATTATATCTGATATTGTAGATTGATGGATATAATATTGATATTGTAATGACATCATTGAATCTGCAGATGCTAAGTATCTAAATAAGTAATTGCACAATCAACATTACAAGTAAACAATCAATATGTAATTATCTTTATTTGTTGTTAATATTTTATATTTATATATTAATAAATTATATAATAAACAGAGTCCGGATTTCGGTGCCGTTTTCTCCACTACGACAGCCACGCGCCGCGAAAAGCAGGGCCGACCACGCCGGTAGCGGTGTAGCGGACTAACGTAGCAAATGGGGCATTATTGCGTGGAGCAAAAAAAATACACATTGTAATAAATATTAAGTTTTGATAATAAGTATTAATTTTTTTGCTCGCGGCGCTCGGAGTGGGGAAAACGGCACCGAAATCCAAACTCTGATAATAAACTACTAATAGAGACTCAGATTTTATTTGCTAACAATTTATTTATTAAATGGGTACATTGTCCTTGTTCAATAACTGAAATTAGTAACAAATAAGATTCGGCTCAGGTTTTTTAGTGTTTATTATATAATTTATTAATTAATAACAAGAGCAGCTACACTTTATATTAAATAATTTTATATATTAATAAGTTATTGATATAAAAGTACCTTAATGTAAGCAGTAGACGTTGATCAGGTGATATTGGCTCTCGACAAAGTGTTTGCTTTTGTATTTTTGGTGCAATTAAAGTAAGTAATTCTTCAAATAATATTGCACTCATCCGACAATAGTTTACAAATAAGTTTATATTTCTTAATAATGTTGGTAATGTTGTGTAGTAAGCTCCATAAGTCTCTCGTTCACAAAGAAAATTTAAAACCCAATATCTCTTCTTTTTATTTTTTCTTTTTTTATGAATTAATATTGTTGTAATGCATAACATTCTTTTTTGTATAATTGATGCTACTGAAAATTAAATGTAGCAAATTAATATAATTTATATTAATCATATTTCAATGTTAACGAATCTTTTAAATAGTTAACAAGCCAAAACAACACTATACATATTTATTTTTATTTACATAATAAATTATTATTATTATTATTATAAATTATAATTTATTATTATAATAAATTATAATTTATTATTATAATACATTATAAATTATAATTTATTATTATAATAAATTATTATTATTATTTACATAATAAATTTACATTACTTACTTATCTGCAGTCGCAATGAGCTAATTGACATATCAAAATGATCGCTCATCTCTATTTTTGATACTCGATATTTCGGTATTTATTTTTTGATATTTTTGTTTGCGAAATTATCACGAGGTGGGCAAATAAAATTATAATAAACGCGACATAAACACGATTAATTAAACTATACTTTATACATCATTACCAATCATTACATATGACACGAAATATAGATATATGTTAACGACAAGCTATATTACATATGTACGACAAAATTTCGTCGTACAGTTAGATGCATGCTCAGTATCAACCAATCGGAACGTCCGACAAGCTTGTCGTACGACACATGTAATATCAGCTTTATACTTGGTTATACTACACCTGTAAATACAAGCACAAAAGCTGAAATTCAATTTGTTAAATAAAAGATTTACCAGAGAAGCTAGATTGAAAATAATATCTTGTCGACAAACTGTATCTTAACTAGTTATTAAAATCAAGAAAAAATGTCCAAATTAAAAATTCTAAAAATAAAATAAACACCTTTTTGATATGAGAATAATAATAAATAATATTTTAATTTTTATAAACAGGCTATAATATGTAAATTCACGACGCCGATCTGATAGAACCATTCCCGAACGTCCTACAATAAGTATAACGGAATCTAAAATTATTTACGTATTTATATCTATAAGTCTATATTTCAACACAAAATCGTGAATAACTCAAAAGTGGATTTAACTACCGACTTCAAACTTTGAGAACCACTTCTAAATACGAGATCACCTATTATTTTTCAATAATATTTCACTAATTGACTCTACTTAAAAATTCGACAAATTAGAGCTGTAGTATATTTTCATAGAACTACAGGAAAAGTACAACTTTATGAAAGAGCCTGTATGAAGGCACAATTTGTATTTTCTCTACCAGAAGATGTAAAATGTAACTTGCCTACGTGAAAAGATTCGATCTTAGTGCTAACCCTTAGCCTGTAGCCCTTGAAACAAAATCACCTTTTTTCACACATGGTATATATATATAAGGCCGTCGCTCCAGCCAGTAGAGACCTTACCCGGTCTGCAGTGAGCACGCTGCAGACCTTCCGAGCCATCAGGGCGCACTCTGACTCGGCTCTTCCTTTCCTTAAGGAGCAGGGAGCACTCTATCTCCGCCGGGCGCACTCGGCATCCGTATACCGTTCCTTTCCTTTAGGAGCAGGGAGCACTCTGTCTCCGCCGGGCGCACTCGGCATCCGTATACCATTCCTTTCCGCTAGGAGCAGGGAGCACTCTGTCTCCGCCGGGCGCACTCGGCATCCGTATACCGTTCCTTTCCGCTAGGAGCAGGGAGCACTTGACGTCCCGTATACACCGTCCGTTCCTCCGTAGGATTAAGTAGTATTTAGTTCGCGCTTCCTAGTTTAGATTTTCTGGTTTGTATTCTTTTAGTTTATCCTTTTCTAGATTATTTTCGCTAGCATGTATTCTTTTGGTTATATTAAATAGCTTATCCTTTTCTAGCTTGTATTCACTAGTTTATATTCTTTCGCGGTAGATACCGGTCTCACTCTTGCGTTACCAGCGTTACTTCTATACGCTTTCCTTGCGCTCTCGCTTGCACGCCGCACTCGCTTGCTTTAATAGCTACCGCTTGCTCTTAATAATTATTGCTTTGTAAAATGTATCACCAACTCTTTAGTTAAGAATATATTTATTTTTACCTCCAAATTGGTCTATTTGATTGGAGTCTCCCCGTCTGACCGCTTATCCCGAATCCTGGCACCGGCGAGCTACTCCGCGCTTAGCAATAAGGCCGCGAGATAAATTCGCACCGTTACAAGGGTAAAAATAATCCTATAGTATTGAACACGTAGTAAAAATTCTGACGATAAACTTGTTAAGAAATACTACGCGACGGGTAGAAATTCTCTTGATTGAATAAGAATAATCCACTATATATCAATCGCGTAGTAAAAACCACAATAGGGTAGCAAAAATTTTTCCGTTGTAAGATCATGAAAATTTATTCCGTAACATGTTGCGACACGAAAATCGAAACTTTCTTTATCTAGTAGAATTTTCGTGGGAATTCGGAAAAGTAATATTTGTTAATGCGTTGCCTTTGCGACCAATCATAGTGCTTAAAAGTTTATATGTGTTCAAATTTCCCCACCATTTTCCAATTTTCTGTTACGCGGAAGATTGTAACATTTTTCTCATTCGTCTCCTAGCATTCGAACCTACAAGTTCAACAGCGAACAAGTTTCAGTTTTCGTATTTTTGTTTCGCGTCTGCGTATAAAAATCAGTGTAATAGATAAACAACGGGAAATTGTGAAATCCGAAAAACCGACAAAGTGCAGCGACACTTCCGAAGCAAGATGCGACATCTCCGAAAAAATTGTGCAGAATTACATGCTGTTATCTACAACATATGGATTGAATTTTTTCTATACGAAAAAAATTCATGTTGGGCTGCAAACTTCAATCAACGGCGACGAGTTTGATTTTCAACCTTTCGTTAAATTTTCATCCAAGGGAGCCGATGGTATTTGCTTCAACATGGCGGAATGGCAAAAATTTCAAGAAAATATGAAGCAAATGTCGGATTACTTAAATGGAAATAGTATTGCGGCAAACTCGATTATTATCAACAAGATAATTATAAATTTCACCACTGCTTATGGAGCAAGAGCTTTGTTATTGACATATCGAGAAAACAGACAAGAAGTTCAACCTTTGGAAAATACCACGACTAAAGAAGAAATTCATGCTCCGAAGAAACGCCGGACTTATTCGCTCGCTATAGCAATGCAGAGAGCTAGTTTTCTGGGGCTAGAAAATATACTCGAATGTGTAAACGCTAATTTGAATCGACTGAATATAATCACCACTAGTGCCAATGATTGCGCTAAATATCTCATTAATGAAATACAAATAAAACTACCTATCGTGGGCTACATCGGAAACGATATTATAAAACTCGCGTTCAAATCTAATTGTCACGAAATACAAACTAATGTACGTACGCAACTAAAAGATTTAACATTTCTCGACGATCAATTTGAAATTGTATTTTTAGAATTAATCGCTCTTTACTTCGATCAAATTGTACATATAATTAGATTTCAACGAAAATTGTAATTCATACATTAATGTATACTTTTATCATTTATAATTAAATTTGATTCTATTGAAAATCATAAAACGTATAAACTTTATTTTGTCAGTACAATTATG